CCAAAATTAAAGCACTTCTAATCAGATAATTTCTGAGTAGGTAAAGCTGCCTGGTTACTTTGTTTGTGTAGCAGGGATTTGGGGACGTGTTTGTTTGGAGCCTGGTCTTTGACTCACAACCAGAAAGGGCTCATCGGAGAGGCCCCTGGTTATTTCAGCGGCTGGCAACATTAACATGGATGACTAGACAGCTTGTCATCCTGAGCCACAGAGGGAACAACTGTTTTTAAGGTTTGGCCAGACTTCATGAGCTCCATTCTTTCCATCCTGTTATATGGAATGCACACGATGCTGTTTAATTACTTCAGTCCCTCTCTTAAAGGAAAAAGGCTACCAATATTCCAGAGGTACTAATGCTTTGAAGGTTAACTTTGTAATTTTCTTTGTCTGCATACGTAGTAACTATAAAGATCTCTTTTGAATTTGCAATATTTAATTATTTTCCAAGTGCATTTTTTGGCAGACAGGGCAAGGGTCTTAACAGGCCATTTGGAATGAGTTCTATTATTTAGGCTTAAAATTCAGTGAGACTTTTTTCCAAGTCAAAAGTTGAATGGAACTACTCTGTATTTCATGATTTATATAATAAAATGCCCAAAATTTTACAGGTGGTCAGCAGGTTTTGGCCCCTGGTGCATATATTACTTTGCTTATTAGGCAAAGACCAAGGAATATATATATATATTTTCTTACCTTTACCACAGTTTCACTGTGCATAGGAACAAGGCAGTTGATTCCTTTCAGAAAGATGGAGATGGAAGTCTAACGTGGAGATAGTCCTTGTGGGCAGAGTCATGTGAGGATGATGGAGACATAAGTGTTGGCCACACAGGGTCTGTCGATGAGATGGTCCTCTGGAAGGATGGTCCTGTGGTCCTGTGATCTCGTGTCACGTGTATCCAGCGTTCACCTGTCTGTCCTAGTTGAAATATGTGTTAAGTCTAACATTCACACTGACATAGCAAGACTTTATACACATTCATTGAACTAAAATACTATACATAATCAATCATTGCTTTTATTGACTTCATTTTGAAATGTAGTATTGGGGATATATTTGTTTTTTCTCCTTATTATGTGGGTATTTAAAAATCTATAGTTGCTTATTGAGTTGGCCTTTCAGCAGAGAGCTTTTGTGCATGCTCAGGGCTATGGACAAGAGCACGGGTCCTGAAACCCAGTACCCCTGGGACATTTCTTTCCCTCCTGCCAACCCCTGGTGAGGTCTGCACTGTGTTCTTCAGGAACATGCAGTTTCTGCAGTGTCCTAGTTACTGTGTGTGCATCATCAGACCTCTGAATCTGATGTCAGAAAGGTGTTTCTGCTTCTTCTAGAACTGGCTTAGCCTGGATCCAGTGCACCCCAGAGTTCCAGCCAGTGTCCAGCCTTTCTTGGCCTCATTTATAAAATAGGTTTGTTTGAGAATTATCTGAGATGATACATGTGAAGTCTTGAAACAATGTTTGGGTGCCTGACATTGGGTTTCCTAACTGTGAGCTTCTATTCAGGATGGCTAGGGAATGAAAAAGACAGGAAACAAAACTGTGTGTACTCTAATCCCATATTCCTGGATATTGTGGGGGCATATGAATATGGTGATGGGAAAAGATATGATTTACACAGGCTGAGCACCCTTCTCTGAAGTACTCAGGACAAGAGTCCTATGCGTTTCAGATTGTTCAGGACTGTGAATATTTGTATAGCCATAATGAGCTCTCTTGAGATGGGGAACTGATTCTAAACACAAAATCCATTTCTGTCTCACATATACCTTACACACAGAGTCTGAAGGTGACCTAGGACAGTTCTTGGTGCACCAGTGTTTCAGCTGCAGCCTGTCTCACAAAGCCAGGGGTGGAACGCTGCACTGTGGCCTCAGGTCAGAAGGTCCAGGTTGTGGATTTTGGGAACAGGGATGCTAATGAGACAGATAATAATCTGGATCATGAACAATTATTTTCTTCTTCAACTTTTTTCTTTTTACACATACTATTCTTACAATAAGAAGACAAACAGTAATCTCCACTAAAGGGAGCCAAGTAGCTGAGGGATTATAGGACCCATATGTGGCCTTCAGAAGCCTCAGTACCAAGAGTTCTAGCCAGGACTTGGACTTCCAGTGCAGGTATATTTCTAGAGGCTCAGCTCTCAGCTCATGTGCAAAGAAGTCAGGTTACATAGCTTAGAGCCTTGCAGTCCACAGTACATCTCCACTTCCAACACAGTCCTGTATCTGCTTGAGAGCCGGGACACAGTCAGAGAAGTGCACCACTGTGGGAGCATCACAGATCAGATGTACAAAATCAGATGGCCACTGTGTCACCAGGCCATGTGGTCTTACGGGACCCCTGTCATATATGGGCCCATCACTAATTAAGACGTCATTATACAGTGGGTGGCCATAAACTCAATCACATTTCAGAGAGATCGTTGGGACCTAGAAACTACATACATGCTGCCAGGGGCTGTCTGTGACCCAACTGTGGGCGGCTGAGGGCCTTGTCTGGGGACATCAAGTGACAAGCAGGTGGGTGGCAAAGGCCAACCCTTTGTGCCAGTTCCTGACAAGGTGACCTTCCTCCTGCACTGAGAGTAGAAGTAAGTGAGAAAGAAGTCATTGACCAGGAAAAGTGGCAGGGAGGAGCCCATCTACCCTGGCAGTGGGCTGGGGTTTATTTTTCCTTCTTTAATGTGCAGTCTGGGCATCCGCCATGTGAGGTCATAGGCCTAGGAGATGGAAAAGACCTACTTTTGTATGAGGTCATCCAGCCCATCCCCCAGAGCCAGCTGACCCCACAGTATACTTTCCAGAGCTCTGGCCAGTTCCTAAGAAATGACTCACCTGATGGAGTTTCCACCAGTTACCAGAGGGAGTGAGAAGGCTCATCTGGGGCGGCCATCTGCAGTCAGCCATGTCTCGTGACAGCGAGCCCAGCGCAGGCACTATATGTTGGAGAGGGATAGACGGCCCCTTTGTCACAGCCCACTTGCAGAATGCACATGCTCAGGACGGGCTCCTCTGGGATCTGCAGAGTCACCTTCAGTCTGTGGAGCTCATTTACGTGGTGTGTTCATGCGAACCTCACCTTACAGGGAAGCTATTGAGTCTTACTGTCTCAGGCTCCTGTTTCCTGTTTTGTTTTGGTTGGTCAGACACAGAGCACAGGGAAGTCTCCCTGTCTTTAGAGGCCAGACCTGTGAACAAGGGGTTAATGATGCTAGAAACTGAGTGCCTGCTATTTGTCCATTGTGCATCTGTTGGGTCATCTCCAGATACCTGCAGACACCTGCTGGTGTAACAGCTAACTCTGTGCTGATGGCTCTGCCTTACCCACTCTGGCACCTGTGGACTCAGAACTCCTACCTGTGTCATCTGGGGGCCTTGGGAAGGCCTCAGGCACAGCCTCAGTCCCTAGAGGAGCTCCCAGACCCCTGTGAACTCAGAGCTCCTACCTGTGTCATCTGGGGGCCTTGGGAAGGCTTCAGGCACAGCCATAGTCTCTAGAGGAGCTCTGCTGGCCCTCCAGAGTCACCACCTAGGCAGTCCTTGTGCACACTCAATGTGCTGTAAGTGGATCTTCTACAACTCTCTTCTGGGGAGGCTGCCAGTACAACAGGGGCTCCTCCTATGAATCAGGCCCTGCAGGTCCTCTTCAGTGACCTCATGGTGCTCTGAAACTGCCCTTGAAAGCGGGTGATTGTGTGTATCTCAAGTAGTTGTCATTACTATTTCTTTTGAAATGTTCTCCTTCCTGATGTCAGCCTGAGTCTATCAAGGTTTTGACCAGTGCACTCTGTAAGCATGAGTTCAACAGCAGTGCTGCACAGTGTGATGAGTGTCCACAGAATGGAGATGGAACAAGACTCCATGAAACATGACGTGAGTCACAGCACACAGGAGCTGGCCAGCAGTGGCCCAGGCAGTCTTCCTCCGTGACCTGTGCATATCCCTACTGTCCCCAGGCCCTCATGCTCAGTGAACCTCCCACTCACAGATCAGTGCAGCCAGGTGCCCCCACTCTGGTGGGTTTGTATTGTACAGCTCCTCATCCTGTTGATGACAAGTGGGACATAATCTGAGAAAGATGCTGTGAGGCAATTGCATCCTCATGCGAACGTCACAGAGTGACCTACACACACTTAGAAGATATGGAGCAGTCACTGCTGTGGCCTCACTGCCACCAAGAGGTAGTAACAAGGTGCACGAGGTTGTGGCCAGCAAGACACGGCACACTGTTTGTAGGAGGAATGCACTCTAACATGAAGCGTGTGGTGTGGTAGATGCATAAGCCAGAGCATACCATAGCCCTGGTAGTTATTACTAAGTGTCACGTGCTGGCACAATGACTTGCCCTGCAGTTTGCATGCTAGCAGCACACTAGCTCTGCCCACAGATATGAAGCACAGCCACAGAAATGAAGAGGGTGATGTTGCTACAGCATCATGTGACAAGGGCTTCTCAGCTGTCACCATCCCATGGGACCACTGTCACATGTGTAGTCCATTGCTGATGGAGAGTCACTGTGTGGTACATGTCACACCTTGTTTTTTTCTGCCTGTTATATTTGTGTGTGACATCTTCTACACATGGAAAACAGTACTCTGCTCTTCCTTTTAAGTCTTGTTTAATCCACATCCAGATGGGCACAGACAGGTAACATACATGGTGACTGGATGGGACCAGGAACCTGGACTGAGCCCCACACTCCCAGCCACCTGACACAACACCCAGGCACCCACGTTCATGGAGGATATTCTCACAAGGCCAGAGGCATGGGCAGACAGAGAAAGCTCTCCAGGTGGTCCTGTGTGCTGGCGGCTGGCAGGGTTGAGTTCTATATGCTGCGGCCACGCTCAGGAGCTGGCTCTGTGGGCTCTGTTGCCATCAACTCAGAAAACTTCGTGCATTCACATGCAGCTCCTGAGGTCTGTGAGTGGTGTGTGTGCTCCTGAACATCCTCAGGAAAGCTGCTTGTGTGTTATTTGCACTTCTCCCCAGATCCTGGCAAAGCTGAAGGGGCTGGCGCTGGACACTGAGACAGAGCTAGAGCGGCAGGATGAGGCCCTGGGTGGCATCACAGCAGCCGTGGACCGTGCGACCCTGACCGTGGACAAGCATAACCGACGGATGAAGAGGCTGACCTAGGAGGAGACACACTGCACCTCCAGGTTTGCACTTCCCAAGCCTGTGTGTCCCTTGCAGTAGGGCCTGGGAAGCCATTCCAGGGCTGTGGGTGTTTGAAGTCCTGTCTGGGAACCCACCTTGCCCCAGGACGGGCAGCCGAAGGAGGGAGCCACTGTACACATGAGGTTCCTCCTGGGTGTCATGAGCATGGAGGCAGAGCCCTGTCCTGGTGAGGGCAGCCAATACAGTATGACCATCTTTGCTGTCCCTGAAGCTGTGAGATCCCAGCCTGGTGCTGCCATTGCAGGGCTGCAGCCCAAGCTATCCAACATGAAACGGTGTTTTCCCCCTTCAGCAGGCACTAAGGCAATACCCAAGTCCTCCTGAAGGAACGCGACTGCACATTCCTGCTCTTCCATCACAGCATCACGGGCACACTCTGGGAGTGACACTCAAGCCCCCCCAGTGGGAACTGCAGCCACAGACTCACCACCACATCCTGCTCTGGCTTCCTCTGGTGGACAGCTCTTGTCGCTCCCCGTGCGTTACGAAGTCCAATACACCTCCAGAGCACTCAGCAAACACCTGCCTGGCCTTTGCCCCCAAGAGAAAAGTGACAGCACCCTTAACAAAAAGTGCAGAGTTCTGTCTTCTGGACAGACCCGAGGTCTCTCCAGTAATAGGAAAAAAGTGATAATTTTTTTGCGGTGGGGGTGGTGGTGTTTGTTTTGTGGTGCTGGGGATTGAACCCAGGGCCTTGTGCATGAAAGGCAAGCACTCTACCAACTGAGCTAGATCCCCAGCCCAGAAATGCTAGTTTTAAAATAGGTTTTGCAGCTGCATCCTACTCTTGGCCTTCATGTTTTATGTCTTAGGACACTCACACCTCTCCCAGGGGGCCCCTGGGAGAGAGAAAGATGGTCCTTTCATAAGCCACATCACAGCAGGCCACTGTCACCCATCTGTGTATTTAATGTACACTGCATGTTTGTGGGTGTTATGGTTTGGACTGGAATGTCCCTCAAACACTCCTGTATGGATGGTCCCCAATGCTTCAGTGTTCAGAAGTGGGGCCTTTTGGGAAGTGATCCCATCATGAGGGCTCTGACCTTACCAGTGGATTAATCAATGGAGGAATTCCAATCGAGTAGAGTGTCGGGAGGTGTGGAGCTGTAGGAGGTGGCTCTAGTTGGAGGGAGTTGGTCCCTGGGTATGTGCCCTGGAATGGTACATCTTGACCTCAGCACCACACCCCTCTTCTTGCTGCCTCACACCGTCCTGGCAATAATGAGCTGAGCAGCTCCTTCCCTCCACTCTTCAGCCATGGTGTTCTGCTTCACTTCAGGCCTAAACAACAGAGACAACCAACCGTGGACTAAGCCTCTGAAACCATAGGCTAAAACAAAGCTTTCCTCCTTTAAATTGTTTTTCTCAGGCATTGTGTCACAGCAGTGGAAAGCTAACAGTGAGCTCTAGTGTGACAGTCTCATACATGTATATGAGTGTGGTCATCAAATCAGGGCAATAAGTATTTCATTTTCCTCAAACATTTGTTATTTATTGGTATTAGGAGACTTCAAAATCCTCTCTTTTTCTTCTTCTTCCTAAAATAGATAATAGACTGTTGTGAACTGTAGTCACTTGGCAGGGCTGTAGAACATGAAGGCTGATTTCTCCTTTCCAGCTGTGTTTTAGTTCCTGCTATCCAGCCTCCCTCCATCTGTCCTCTCCCCTGTGTTCCCAGCCTCTAGTGATCACCATTCTACTCTCTACTCCTATGAGATCAGCTTTTTGTCTCTGCATGGGCGAGAATGGGCAGTGCCTGTATTTCTGTGCCTGACTCATTTCATTAGCATGACATCCTCCTGGTTTATCCATATTGCTGTGACAGGATTTCATCTTTTGGGGGGAGCTGAATAATATTCCTTTGTGTATACACACCATAGTTTCTTTATTCATACCATGTGATCTTGGTCATGTGGAACTGCAAAAGCTGATCTCACAGAAGTAGAGTGGATAGTGGTTACCAGGGGTCAGAAGGAAGGTAGGAAAACAGGAACAAAACTAGTTAGAAGGAAAAGATTCTGGTGTTCTCTTGCATGGTAGAGTGACTCTAGTGAGTAGCATATTGCAAAACAGCTAGAAGAGGTGATTCTGAGTATTCTCACCCAGAGAATTGATGGTGTTTAAGGAGATAGATATATTAATTACCCCTGATCTGACCATTACACATGGTAGACTTGTTCTGAAATGTCATACTGAAATGTTGGTGTTTTCCCCCTTCAGCAGGCACTAAGGCAATAGGTGCCATTATTGTGGCAATTAAAAACAAAAAAAAGGGGGGACCAGGGATGTGGCTTGGTGGTAGAGCAATTGCCTAGCATGTGTGAGGCACTGGGTTCAATACCCGGTACCACATAAAAAAATAAAAAACAAATAAAATGAAGGTTTAAAAAAAATAAAAACAAAAAAGGAAGAGGCTGAGAAAGGGCCAGTGAGTGGAGGTGGAGTGCCACCCATAGTGATCCCTCTCGTGTTCTAGGAGAAAGCACCATACTCCAGCTCCTGGAGGTGCTTCCCAACACCCAGGACCTCCTATGCACAGCAGAAGTTCTGCTCAGTCAGTTCTCAGGTTGGCCACAGATTTCTACATCCACGTTGTCTTTTCAGCTCTCGGAACCCTCTGAAAACTGGATATGCGGGGGAGGAGCTGCACACAGAACCACAGCTGCCCTGGTAGAGCTTCTACCCTGTGCATGGGCACTCCTGACCACACCCTGCCACTAAAGAAGCCGGCTCCCAGGTGGCAGAAATTCACCTTTGGTATGGCTAGTGCTTTGAGCGTGGGCATGGGGAAAGCAGGTGTTGGACCCTTCAAAGTTCAGGGTACAGCAGCTTGTATTGTGGGTATCCCTCAGATAATGACAGGTAGGGCCCCAGGAGTACCTTGCAGGAAGTTGTTTGGACCATGGGCTGCCTCTTCCAGTATGTGACAGTGCAGTGGCCATAGGGATAGGATTGTGGTGACTGGAAAACCACATGTTGGGTCATTGAGGATCCCAGACTCGAGGGACTCTACTTGGGAATCCCAGGATGAAGTCTTCTGTAGAGGCAGCACTTGAGCTGGCCCTGGGATGAGTGTCAGAGATGCAGAGGCTGTAGAAAACAACTCTCAGAGAACATTGAGGCTACACGTGGAGTGCCAGTATGATACCAGGAGGCCTGGAGGGCACCAGCCTGTCCCACCTGGACCTGGGTCTTTCCTTGTTGAATGTCGCATTTCTGTTAATCAAATGCTGGTATTGTGGAAGGAGAGCTCTGTGCACTTTTGACAAAAAACGGACAGGCAGTGTGCACCTGCCCCAGGACCTACATCTTCTAGAGTCTTCCTTAGAGCCTCTCTGTAAGTTCGTTAGATCTGATCGACACAGGAAGAGCCAGCCTGAAGAACAGGTCTAGGACTACAATAGTGTAAAATGCAGACATTTGGAGACTATGGTGTTAGGCTCAAACTGACCCCTTTTTCTCGTGTCGCATAGACTGTTTCCTATATGAGGTATTACCACCTGTTTTCCCCATTAGTTCATCCCTGAAAGGACACTGCCGGACAGGAAACTTTTTGGTCCTGGGTAGACAAGGAGAAGCCAGCTCCAGAGCTGGGAGTTGCAGGTGGGAAGACCACTAGTAGGGCAGTGCTGGGGATGCTGCCAGGCATGACAGTACTAATGGAGAAGACACTCTTGCCAGGCACCCCACGTGAGCAGCATGTGCAGCTCACTGTCAGCAACCTAGAGCGTGTGGTCCGCAGTTAGAGAACACGTTGGCAGTGAGTCCCAGCCCCACTTAACTTCCTCTGACCAATAGCAGAGAACTCATCTCTGCTGGCATCCCACCACCTAGGGATGCACATCTGTCCCACGTCTCTGGCTTGGATGGCTCCCCATCCCTTTACCAGGACCCGGATCAGAGTGACACATAGGGTGTCCTACATCCCTTGACACCTCCCTGATGCAGGACCTCATGCTGTGAGTGGCGGGTGTCCTCAGTATCACTGGGATGAAGTCTCCCCTGTGTGCTTACAGAACAGAACCTCATGCTGTGGTGTAGGGTCTCTCATGTCCATTCACTGCCACAGAATGTCACACTCTGGGTTGTGGTCTCCTGAGTCTGCTGTTAGTAAGGATTTGCTGGGTTTGTTCTCCTTGGGGCAAAACCCTTTCATCCATGAACCTGTGGAACCCGACTTGTAGAAACATGTCTGCTACCAAAATCCAGTGGTGGAACTGGCATATGACTGCAATGATGAGAGGAAAAAATAGAAATTAGAAAGGAGCCACTTGGCTTTCCCTTTGCAGTCATGCATTGAGGACCTTGGCGTTATCCCTCTGCCTAACAAGAAGTAAAAGTTTGAACAGACTTTCCTAGATCTCTCAGGGAAATGAGGTCACAGGGCCAATACTGCCGCCATGATTGCTGGCAACAGACAGCAAAGACAGATTCCCTCTTCCTGGAGCAGAAACTCATGTCAGAATTTTCTCTGGAGGCCAAATTGGGGTAGGAAAATCTGCACCATTAATGACAAATTGTTGGAGCCTCATTGTACTCAATCCTGAAAGATAAAACCGCAGGAGACATGATAAGAGGGGAGACCATGGCCTTTTGTGAGTTCACCTTTAGCAGCTCAATCATATTCTCACAGTAAATGTTGGAGAAAGATCCCTTTGGGGCTTCCTCAGGGAAAATATTAAGTAACCATTTTTGAAGTATACAAGAGCATTCTATTCTTGAGCTCTGACCTCAAGAGAAACCATTCTACAAAGGCCTGGCTGACCTGGGGAAGGGGAAGTATCCAACTACAGGTCCTTCCAACCATTCTATCTTACCTGACAGGTTGTTGGGGGACAGGGTCTGTGCTGAGAAGCAATCGTGAAGTCCATGAACCAGGGACATTGACTTACCAAGACTTAATCATTATAGAATAGTTCCCTCCCCCACATCTTACACCACATTACCAAAATCCTGTGTGCAGCAGTTGCTTTTACCTAGCACATAAAGTCCCTCCAACAGCAACAACAAAAAAATTGCATACTAAAAGAAGTACATTCATGTGCATGTATGAATATGGAATAATGAATCCCACCATCATGTATAATTATAATACACCAATAAAAAAAGGAAAGACTGAAGAGAGAACTAGCATCAGAACCGAGTTGGATAATAGGAATTTTGAAATTATCAGACCAAGATCTTTCCAAAAATACTATGATAGCTATGCTAAGGGTGTCCTCCAAAAGCTCACATGTGAGACAATGCAAGAAGGTTCAGAGGAGAAATGATTGGGTTGTAAGAGTTTTAACCCAATCAGTGATTTAATCCCATGATAGGGGTGTGGCTGGAGGAGGTGGGAATTGGGGTATGGCTGTGGGTATGCATCTGTATTTGGGGTGTGCAGTCTCTCTGCTTCTTGATCACCATGACGTAAGCTGCTTTCCTCCACCACCCTCTCCTGCCATGATGTTCTGCCTCACCTCGAGCCCAAGGAATGAAGCTGGCCTTCTCTGGACTAAGACCCCTGAAATTGTGAGCCCTCCCCTACAGTTGTGTTGGTCAGATCCTTTAGTTACAGCAGCCAAAAAGCTGACAAAGACACACGGAAAGTGCACAGCGTGTAAAAATACAGATGATATAAGCAGGAGGACGAATATTCTAAGAGTAAAAAGGGTGCCAGAAATCAAAGACTTTTAACAGAAATCAAGATGCTGGAAAGAGTCTGTGAGCTTGAGGACATGAGAATAGGAACTTCCATAATAGAAGGCAAAGAGAAAACTCTGAAGGAAAAAAAAGAGACAGAAATGGAATACCCAGACTTGTGGGACAATTACAAAATTATAACATGCACATATGAGAATATTAAAAGGAGAATAAAGAAAGGAACAGAAAGTGTTTTGAGGCGGTAATAACTGAGAATTTCCCTCCAGTTAATGTCAGACACAAAGATATATATCCAGGAGGTTCAGAGAACAGCAAGCAGGAGAAGTACCAAATGACTACACCTATACCTAGTATATTCAAAAATAAAACAAGGGAAATCAAATATTTTTTTAAAATCTCAAAAGAAGCCAGAGGGGGGAAACCACTCGATAGTTACAGAGTAGCTGACATCTGATTTTTCCTCCCAAACCACGCCAGCAAGAAGAGAATGGAGCAAAATACTTAAAGTGGAAAATCCACCAATTTTTATCCTGTGAAATTATCTTTCAAACGTAAATAAAGACATCCACAGACAAGTAACTTGAGAGAGTATGTTGTCAGTAGACTTACCTTGATAGGATTCTTAAAAGCTGTTCAAATTGCTGGGCGAGGTAGTGCATGCCCCTAATCTGAAGCTGAGGCAGGAGGAGTGCAAGTTCAAAGCCAAACTCAGCAACTTAGTGAGGCCCTAAGTAACTAATGATTATTTTGAGACCGTGTCTCAAAATAAAAAGGGCTGGGGAGGTAGCTCAGTGGTGAAGTACCCTGGGTTTAATCCCTGTTACAACAATAAAAACAACAAAAGAACTTCTCTTTAGATAGACTGTCAAAGCCCATGATCCATGAAAGAATGAGTTGACAATCTGCCCTGCAATTGACACTTGAGACAAAGATGACAAGCCACAGATTGGGAGAAAGTCTTTGCAAAACAACATGTCTGATAAAGAACTATTATCCATAATACACAAAGAATTCTTAAAGCTCATTAGAATGAAAAATGTAATTAAAAATGTGTATTAACATACATCATTAAAGAAGATATACAGATGGCAAATAAGCATATGAAGAGTTGTTAAGCATCTCTAATTTCATGTCGTTAAAGAATTGCAGATTAAAGCAATGAGGAAAAAATTAGGCTACCTTAAACAGACTGTTAGTAGAAACATAGAATCAACACCCATATTCTAATAGCCAAATTCCAAAACAGATACCACAAAATGTTGGTAAGGACGCAGACATCAGGAATTCTCATTGTTAGTGAAAATGCAAAATGGTACAGTCACTTTGGAAGACAGTTTGGCAGTTTCTTCCAAAACTAACTATACTCTTACCCTATGATCCAGAAATTATGCTCTTTGGTGATTACCCAAATGAATTGAACACTTAATATCCACACAAAACCTGTGCATGCACATTCTTCATAATTGCCCAAACTTGGAAGCCACTGAGATATCCTTCAGTAGGCAAATGGATGAACTGCATACATTCAGACAATGCAATATTAATCATCCCTCAAAAGAAAGGATTTATTAAACCAAGAAAAAACATGGAAGAGCCTAAGGGAAAGAGGTCGACCTGAAAAGGCTTCATCAGGTGTGATTCTAACTCCATGACATTGTGGAAAAGAAAACTAGGGGAACATAAGATGGGTGATTTCCCGGAGTTGTGGGGAAGAGAGGGAGCACAGAGGGGTTTTAGGGCAACAACAGTACTACACATTGGTCAAAACCCAAAGAGTAAAAACACTAGGATGAACCCCAATGTAATGTGGGCTCAGTGACTGTACCCAATGTACTGCTTAATGGAAGATCTGTTTTAACACTGGGGGAAGCTGTGTGAATGTCATAGCAACAGGGTATATAAGAACTCTGAATCTTCCACTCAAATTTTGTGAACCTACAACTGCTTTTAAAGTAAGAGAAGGAAGATAGAGGAGGAGGAGGAGGCAGGGAGGGAGGAGTCATCCATCCCAAGCAATCCCAGAGCAAATTTCTTTAGGTTTCAAGGCCTTGAAAATAATCCTCTGGGCCCCAAATTCCACCCTTGGAGTCATTCTTTCTCCTCCTTTAAGGATAGAATTTGTCCACAGCCCACCAGCTCTATCAGCCTGTTCTCCTTTTTGTAGGATTCTGGAAATCCAACATTTCTTTTTTGCTTCATCCTGTATGTACCTTTCAGTCCAAGCTGCCTGTGTATTGGATGATAAAACATTCTCAAATCTCTTGTAGGTCTCCTGTGCATATCATGGGCACTAATGTCATTAGACAAGAAGTTCTTTACAGCCCTTTCCCAGGAAGCCCCATCTTTCTTACTGCTTCTGTTGAGATGGCTGCGTACACCATGAGCCACAACTAATCACCACATTTGTCCAGCCACCCTGGCCTTCTCTCCAGAGCATTTTATTAATAGTGAATATTCTAATTTAACAACTTTGCTCCCTGACAGGCTGAGAATTTCTCCAAGTTGTTAAGTGCTATTTTCACTTGTTTTTCCTAATAGTTCTGTCCTTGATTTATCTCTTTCCTTTGTATTTTGCTATAAACAACACAAGGAGAAACCAGGCCACACCTTCAACCCTTTGCATAGAAATCTCCTCAGGTATATGTTTTATGAGTTCTGCTTTCCACTCAACAGGAGGACACATTTCAATCAACTGCTTTGCCGTTTATAACAAGTTTCCTCCAGTTTCCAATAACATATTCCTCATTTCCTTTTGAAGGCACTGGCAGAGTCTTTAACATCTATGTTTCTACCAACAGTCTGCTCAAGGTAGCCTAGACTTTTTCCATCATGTGTCTCCATTTTTTCATCTTCCTAGTTCCAGAGCCACTTGTTTATACATTTGTTACAGCCACTCACCACTTCTGTATTCACTTCCCAGGGTGACCTTGACAATTACCACAAATTGCAGAGCTTGAAACAACAGAAATGGGTTCTCTTAACTCCCAAGGCTGGGATTTGATATCAAGGGCTTGGCAGGCTGTGTCCTCAATTGGGGCTCATCTGGGGCTCCCCCAAGTTCATCTAGGTTGTTGGCATAATTCAGCTCCTTGTGGCAGTAGGGATGAGGTATCCCCTGCAGCTACCCTGGATGTCCTCGACCCTTGTCCCTTTGTCTTTTCACTAGCAGCAGCACAAATCTTCCTCCTCCTGCTGCAGACCTTGGTCTCTCCTGCAACCACCTGGAGAACACTTTGGTCTTAAAGGGGCTGGTGTGACAACGCAAGTCCCACTGGGACTCTCCTGTCTCTGATCCACTCATCCAGGACCTTGATGACATCTGCAGAACCTTTCACCAGCACTTAGTTTGTATTGGGTTGATAACTCATAAGAGCTGTGGACACCAGGCTAGAACCTCCAGGTCTCTGTGTTTCTTCCACCCAGGAGGCCGTGCTCTGGCTGCCACTCTCACTTGCACCACCCCTTTTTGACTTGGTCCTGCCGCTGTACCTTTTCAGCCCAAACTGACTGTGTTTCTACTGCTATAGCCTTCTCAAAAACCCAAGGCTCTCCTGTGTATATCAGGCCTTTTTCTTTAATGCTAGCTGTGCCACATGAACTGTGGGCCCCAGGAAGTTACTTCTCTCTGAACATCTGTTTCTGCATCTGTAATGTGGAGATGTCCCTGCCTCCCATGTACAGTTCGGAAGACTAGTTGACCCAACTAGGCAAAGCCCTTGACCCAGACCCAGCTTGTGTGGGCCACTTCTCCGCAGTTCCTCCTGTCCTCCTCATGTGGCTTCAGAGGCTGACGGAGATGTGGTAAACTTTCTTCCTGAAGGCTGCTCCTGTTCCAGGAGCTGCTCAGAGCTGGCAGGCTCCCAGACACCCCCTGCTTCCATGATGGTGTCAGCAGGAGACGAAGGACACAGTGCAGCCATAAGTGGGACCACCCCTTGGTGCCTTCATCTCTGCTGAGGAGGCAGTTGGTGCTTCATCACCTCCAAGGGCACTGCTGGCTTTGAGCTCCCGGGCAGAGTGATTTCAGCAGCCACAGCAACTTCCAGGCCAGGGAGAGGAGGGGCTTTCCTGCTTTGTCGACTCTCAGTGAGAAAAGACAGTAAATGCATAGCCTGTGCACAGAGACGTCAGGATTTGTTCCACATGTCAGGCATGTTTTTAATTTAATGGTTTATGTTGTGGTAGATGTGTTTACGGCTGTGAAGTCAGCAAGAGACAGGAATTGTGGGCCCCGGAATCGTGCCCAGCATGCAGGCTGGTTTAAAGGAGGACATCATGCTTGGTTCACTGGTCAGAGGTGTAGGTTGCCTCATGGCTACATCAATCCCAACAGAGGAAAAAGTGGGGAGGAGATGGAGACATGAGGGGTTTGGTCTCTGAGCTCTCTCTGCCTCACCTCACCTCAGTCCTTTCCATGTATGGGGAATCCATTCCCAACTGCCTTTGGCTCTCGCACACTTCATGTTGTAGACCATGGGACCAGGGAGGTTCTGGAGTCAGGACACCCTACACAGACATCCCCCCATTCCCTTTATGCTACTGTTTTTCCTGTGGACACATAACTGGTGAAGTTTATAAATCAGGCACAGTAAGAGATTAACAATTTATGGTAGATCTTTGCAACCTCATATCTATTTTTTTCCTTTGCTTAAGTAAAAAACATTCACCTTTCTACCTCAAGGAAACACTTCCTGACATCCAGGGTAGCTAGAGACCCCTCAGCCCTACTGCCACAAAGAGCTGAATTATGCCAACAACTTAGATGAACTTGGGGGAGCCCCAGATGAACCCCAGTTGAGGACACAGCCTGCCAATACCTTGATATCAAATTCTGGCCTTGGGAGTTAAGAGAATATACTTCTGATGTTTCGAGCTATGCGAAACATAGCTTCTGCTTTGGGGGAAAATAGATATGGGGGCTTCTGGGACCCCTCGTAACACTGCAGCTCAAAATCCCATCTTCCTAACTACATCTTACAAGGCCCCTGGCCTCACAGAGCTAATGTTTGGGCTCCAGAAGAATCTGACTTTTCTGGCTTTGAAATCATTCAATTCCCCCCACCCGGCTCCTTGAGAGGGGAAAGAAGCTGCCTTGGGCTCAGGGGGCTGGTGTCCAGAGAGGAAGGATCTGGACACAAGGGCTTTTCTCAGGAGGGAGAACCATAGACCAGGGCACAAGGAGGGCAGGTCCCTGGCTGCATCTAGGAGAGGGTGGCCTTCTGGGTGGGGAAGTGAAGAGTTTCCCTGTGGCCCCACAGTGAATGTGCTGGGGTGCCGGGACAGGATGACCCCTCCCTGGCTGGCTTCATCTGACTGTGAAATACCATACAGCATCCCCTTATCTGTAAGGGATATGTTCAAGATCCCTGGTGGAGCCTGAAACTTCAGATAGTACCAAACTCTGGCTCTCCTGGTTTTTATTAGCACATTATAATCATACATAATAATGGGGTTCATGGCAACATATGAATACATGATTATGTTACATGAATATAACTTACTCCATTTCTTTCCCCAGTGCTTCCCCTTTTCCTTTCCTCCCTACATTCCCTTTAGCTTTACTGTTTTTCCTGTGGACA